TTACATGGAAACTCCTATAAAAGTTCACAAAATTATGAATAGCATTAGTTGTATACTCAACTGGTTTATACGAAAACGTTTTACAAACAAACCTTTTTTGCTTGGTTATAAGAGGACTTTATAAGAGTTGTGGGTCTTTGGACCTGGGAGGAGAGAAGATGTGAGAGAGAAGGGTATGGGACAGATGATGAAGTAAGACTAGGCAACGAGTTTAGACATGATATAAGGAAAATAGTCAAATAAGCCAGCTAACTTACGGAAGAAGGAGACAGAAGTAGAAGTCAGTTCTCCGTACAGTTCATGGAAACTGCCGGCCGGGACAACCGACTGCGGCCATGCGGTCAAGTGATAGTGTCGGGGGGGGGAGAGGGTGGTAGGTTGATTGTTGTGTGTTGCAGTCGGAACCCCGAGACTTTTGATGCCCGCGGCTCCTGTTTACTATCGCTCAGCTATTAGCCGTGCAACTTTTATTATCACCGCACTTTTTTTAACGGTTGCGCAATTGAACCGGTCGGGATTAAAACTGCGAATTAGCTTTATAAGACAATAAAGTTTTCGAAAAAATAACAAATGTGCGATTAATTTGTGATTAATCACGATTAACTATGGACATCATGCGATTAATCGCGATTAAATATTTTAATCTGACTGATAGAGTCAGTGCCTCACCAGCCATGAACCTCACCGCAAGTCACTGCTGTGTGATCATCATAGTAATAGTAATGACAAGCTTTGAATGAAATATGGAAAAAGGGCTCAAGCATTATGTCCTGCCGCTACGTCGCAACTTTTTACTTATTTTTGTCATACTACTAACTTTATCGACCACAAAAGACACAAAACAAGGTCTTATTGAGTACGTTTAAAAATGTTTTGCCATGATGTACCCATTGGCTAATATTGGTGTGGACAATTTATTCGAAGATGTACAACTAAAGTCTAACAGCCTTGAAATGCTTGATGCAAAGTAAATTAACCTTAAGAACTGTTAATGTGGCAAATATTAACTATGGAAGCAACCTTTACTAGATGCACAGAGAAAGTCAAATGGCTGAAAGGTTTAATATCAAACTACCAAAGGAAATGAAGTACTATGGCTATGGATACAAACACATATAGATGTTGTCTTATATATCAAAAGATTTCTAATTGAAGCAAAAACTGTTTGTTTACTACTTTTCAATCATCAATTGTTTACTTGCAACTGTAGAATTACTGATACAATGTTCTTCTTCATCTTTTATATGTTTGATTCATGAATGTCTGTACTCTAAGACGAATATTGTTATTTTGTTTTGTAGTTTAAACCCATTATGATTCCTCAAGCCAGCTGGAGAAGGAAAGTAAGAAATGAAACTGAAGGTAGAATAAGTGTCCCCATGCTTGCATTTAATATAGAGGCAGTTGGAAGTCACAAAAACTCTAGTCCACTAAAGTCTGTACCGGTGGTGTGTAATTGTAAACATTTGTCAATATTCTGTTCCAGTTTTTCATTTCCATATCAAGTTCCAATTTGACACACAGTTTGTCTGTTATGGAAGGGGGCGGGGGGATTGGTGTGAAAAGGGGGGACTCAGAAAATAGAAAGAAAACAAAAAGCAACAGGGGAAAAGTTGAATACAAAGAAAACAAGATGAGGCAAGAAAACATCAGGAGAGCAGAGAAACGATTATGAAAGGAGGGAGGGAAAAATGAAAGGACTATACTCCAAAGTGAGAAAAGAAAATGGGAATGAGCAGAAAAAAAACAGATCTGGGGAGCTAGCAAGATAGACTGAGAGGGGGGAGAGGAGAGAGCTGCCAGGCCCTCCCGCTGGCTCAGCAGTGGGACGCAGAGGCAGACTCCGTTTTCCAATCCATCGTCACTGCAGGACGCCAGCCCGCTCTGCAGCCCTGTAAACATGCATCCCATCTCACACACATGCAGAGTTCAAGCCATGCATGCACTCCAGTTGAAGCCACACACGGAGCTGTTGCCACACACACACAGTACAGGAAAGAAGCATCACGCGCCGGGGACACACTCTCACAAACACACACAGCAAAAGCACTCACGGAACACCAAGACCAGATAAATGTTTTCTCTCCTGCTAACACACCTCGGTAACAACAGAGCCGACACTTCAGATGAGAAATTAATTGCGTGGCGAGCGCAGCACACGCATCTCTGAGAAATGCAACCCTCCCCTCCCCCCTCCCCCCCTTCCCAGCATCACACGCTGCCAAATTGCATTTTTGTCCATCTCATCAGCGCTTCCAATGGGTAGGCAGTTCCACCGGCAAGCCAAGCAGGAGATTTGGAAATTACTGAGAGGCTCTTCGCTAATAGATTATCGTTTAAGAAATAAATTACGTTGGTTATGCCGCTTTCGATCTCTTCATGGAAATAAACGGCGTAGCAGACTCTCTTTGTGATAACATAAGAGATAGTCAAGGCGAATTCTTGCAGAAGATAAAAGCACTGAACGCTGGATTAAATATAGGACATCAATGTGACACTAATCTCAAATCAATTACAATTATTGTCCCATATCTCAAATGAAGAACATTTGTTTTTCAGGACTAACAATGTTGTGTCAATAGTTAACACTAGTATTTATACGTCATGGTTGGATTAGGAGACAATGGGCCCCTGTGCACAGACCTGCAAAAAGACCCCAGTGGCTCTTCTGTTAAAGCAGGAAACACATAGTGTGTGTCTGTTTGTAGTTGTTTTGTGTCTCTTTGAGGTAGCTTTGCGTCTCTCTGTGGTTGTTTTATCTCGGGTCATAGTCTTTGTTAGTCTCATTTTGTGGTAATGCAGCTTTTTTTGTCTATTTGTATTATTTTTTGGAGTAATTTTGTGTCTATTAATGGTTGTTTTTGTGTCTCTTTGTAGTGTATTTCCCCCCATTGTAGTACTTTGTGTCTCTTTGTAGTGTATTTCCCCAGTTAGAGTACTTTGAGTCTCTCTGTAGTCATTGTATGTCTCTTTGTGGTTGTTACCTCCCTTTCATAGTCATCATGAGTCTCATTTTGCGCTCTTTGTGTCCCTTTACAGCTGTTTTACATATTTTTGTTGCTCTTCTTTAAATCTTTTAGTCTTTTTGGGTTTCTATGTTGTCTTTGTAGTTTGTGGTTGTTTCGTCTGTTTTCACCGTTTTTGTGAGTCCAATTGTAGTCTCTTTGTTTGTATTTGCAACTGTTTTGTGTCTCTTTGTAGTTGTTTTCCTTCACTTGTAGTCTTTTTTGAATCTCTTTGTAGTTGTTATATGTATGTGATTGTGGTCTCTTTGCAGCCATTTTGCATGTCTTTGTAGTTGCTTTGGTCTCTTTGTGGTCTGTATCTGTTTCTGGTCCTTTCTAAGTCTCTTCCTGGTTTGCACTCATCTCTTTGACATTTTAAAGGTGAAGGCCAGGGAGGGCCATGACATTTTGGGCCCCTGGGCCAAAAAAACCCTCTTGACTAACCCATCGATTGTTATTTGCAGACACTGACCTGCTGGTTTTTTCAGTTAATTCAACATGAGTAATAGCATGCATACTGTAGCCACTTTAATTCCTCTCCAATAACTCTTAGAATACATATTTCAGGTGAGTTTTGTAGGATAAAAACTGGCAATTAACTTCATATACTTAAATCCAATTACTGTTTATAGACATAAAAACGAAAATTATTCAAATGTCCTACATCTTGGGACTGCGTGCTTCAACACTGCCCCTCCAGCACTAGAAAATAATTACACAAATTGAAAAGAATGTTATTTAAGAGGGCTCGAGGCTGCAGAGAAGGACGTTAGTGAAAGAAGTTGCTGTTAGTAACTGAAGGAAATAAATCGTCCTTGGAAAGTGTGGACGTTTGCTTTCAGCTTTAAATGAAACATTTGTGAGATTTTTTTCCTCCTCTCAAAAAGACCTTGTAAACATATTTGGAAAAATATACCAGTGAGTGTGTGTTTGTACGTGTCGGTGTATGAAGGCTTTGCCATTATTAATACAAGATAAGGTCAATATGTTTGGGACTTTAGCAGACGAGTGAAAGAAGAGAAACATCTACCTACCACCTGAGACTAAGGTTTGAATAATGTAATCACAATGTGTGTATAGGGTGTACAAGTGGGTACAAAATCATTTTAACAAACGTTTTGATATGGTTGCTTATGTGGTTATGTGCATTTTTCTTATTGTAAGTAAAATTATCTTATTGTAAGAAAAGCGCTCTCTTTTGAAGTTTGGTTCTGTAAAGCAATCTTCCTAAACACACATCAACATACAGTTTGGGCGTTGTTAGCAGCTCTGTTTTGACTCTTTATGGGATTAAGGGAAATTTAGAAAACCATCGTTATGGTTACATTAGATGTACATTTAGATGTCTTATGTATGTATAGACTGAAGATGATGTTGACTTTTTGTCTAGGACATTTGACATTCCGGTTTCTCAAACTTACCTACCCCACCTTTAATTAAACAAAATCTGATTAATTGTATAATTACAGGAACATTTGACATTTTTGTTAGGGTGGCGATTCCCTTGTTCATACTGCATGCGCTGTCTAAAGTAATACCAATATACACCTGTTTTTCAATATTTATATTGCTAAAGTTACCACTTCAAGGTAAAAAAAAAAAGGAAATGTTCATGCATGCAAGTCATATCTGGAAAACAACAGTACTTTTCTGACCTTGAGAATGAGCGGCGACGTTGGTTTGAGCTCCAGTATCCCTGAGGGGCTGAGCGGTTCGAACACGGGGTCGGGGTAGTAGCTGAACGTCTCGTTGACCACCACCAGAGCATTCACGTTGTCCATGTAGAAGCCGATCTCATCCGGGCCTGTGCCGGAGTCGGAGAAGCCCAGCTCAGAATCAGCTACCGACGGAGCCAGGCACACCATGACAGAGTTATTATACACCGTACAGTTCTGAAAATGAGGAAACAAGAAAGACCTTAGACCTCGTAAAAGACGTCTTCTCTCTATGAAGATATATGTACAATGAATGTGCACCGAAACCTAAATGCACTCATTTTTATACTATTCTAGTTAAAGTGTTCTTGACAGGAGGATGTCTTCTATAAAACAGGTAGCATGGCCTTCTTTATAAAATAGTCAGAATAACCTGCATGCTATCCGTTTATTTAAAAACAGATCTTCCGGGTATAATGAACCATCTCTTCTATCAATGCCGCGTCTTGCTGCAGTGCTGTTATGCCTATTGGAAATGTAAATTGGTTGCAAATTTATGATCAGCTGTTAATAATGGACAATGGCCTGTGTTCCTTTGCTTGTACTGGGGGATATTTTACATTATTGCTTTGGAGAATACATGAATACAAGATGTCATGGCCATGTTTGCTTAAATTTATAGGAAGTACACCATTTACTAAATACAAAAGGTGTATGAATAAATAAGGATTTGAAGAGGCCCTATTTCGTTTTTCAGGTTTTTCATCTTTCCCTTCTTGTAGTGGGTTAAATAGTATAATGGGTGAAATAGTATAATATGTATAGTATAGTTAGTTATAGTGTAGTATAATATATTATAGCACAGTATAATTTCCCTCCCTTACACTCCCCTTTGACCATTAAATCATGTAGACATTTCACAGTAGACACAAAATACACATATGTACCAGAAGATTAACATATCAGGGCCCCTTTAAGTACAACTCCATATGTATATAAACAAATTCAGCGAATGAAAATATATTAAGCTAACGTGTGTCTAAACACAATAAAAACATGTAAATATTAAATAAATTGCTTTCATGTTTTATTTTTTGACAACAAGAGGTGCAAAAGGAGTGCAATTCTTCAAAGCTGCTAGTGGGTGAACTGTTCGCCGGAGCCTTGCAGCGGGGTTACTGCGGAGCGCATAAAGCAGACCCTTCACGCGACAGCAGAGCGAACAGGTACAGGAGGGGTAGAGCGAGGGTTCATTGCCCACTAGTTAATCGATCGCAGATGGCGTCGTGCTAAAAAAAAATTAAACCTAAATGGGTCACGGAATATAGTACGTTAATATACCTGGGGGGCCCGCCCAAGTAAAGTCTATGTGTGGGAAACCCTGATATGCTTTGGAAAAAGGCTGTCATTTCAGTATTCGTGGTTTGTATTAAAAACACGGTCCTTTAAGTAGCACTTTGATAGAGGGCTGTGTGGGATGCATTCTGTTTGCCTCGTAAACAGGTTGGAGTGCCTCAGTTTGATTTGAAGTTTTCAACCTTGGCAACTATAAGAGCTTTAAACTCTCAATGTCAATCACCAAAGTGCTTTGAGAATCTATAGAATTGACAAAGCTCTTCAACTTTTCAGATGAGACACTGAATTTGTTTCTCATCTTTATTCCCCAAGCATCTCCATCTGTCTCTCCTTCACTCACGCACACAGTCCCTCTCATGTTGTCTCTTTCTTTCAGTGACACAAACACTAATGTGGTGCGCTGACATTTGAAAAGCTATGTGGCCTGAGGTAGCGTTAGCTGTCTGAAGCTGTATCTGTACAGGGAGCAGACTCACACAGACAGTGTGTCTGCCACCTTAGTGGCACAGAAGAAGAAGTTGTCTGTAGATCATGTTGGGGATGCGGAGGGGTACGCCTGCATATATGTGTCAGTTAATGTATGTACTGTATGCGTACAGATGAATAATGTAGTATGTATCTACTGCCAGGGTGTGTTTGTGAATTTATATTTGCTCTACGTACACTGGGCTGCCTGTTAATGTTAGTCTGTGTGTGTGTGTGTGTGTGTGTGTGTGTGTGTGTGTGTGTGTGTGTGTGTGTGTGTGTGTGTGTGTGTGTGTGTGTGTGTGTGTGTGTGTGTGTGTGTGTGTGTGTGTGTGTGTGTGTGTGTGTGTGTGTGTGTGTGTGTGTGTGTGTGTGTGTGTGTGTGTGTGTGTGTGTGTGTGTGTGTGTGTGTGCTTGTGTCACATCAATACTCACATGAAAGGATTCTGCCTGCCCATACTTGGCCCTGATTTTTGGTTCTCGGATGGTTGCAAGGTTGGTCCCGCTCACTGTCAGTAGAGTGCCACCACTGTAGGAATAAAGAGAGGGGAGAAGAATTAAGTAGTACAACAACAAGAACAACAACAAGAACAACAACAACAAAACATATACAGTAGGTTCCCTTATCCAGGGTAAACAAGTCTGTCCCTGATTCCATTTGAATTGAGATTGGTAGCGGCCGAATGTACTGGACATTCCGTCTGTGACTAACGTTCCTATACAACCGAGTGGTGCCAATGCAGCACTGAGGCAGAAGGCAATGTCCGCTTCAACATTCAAATGAAAGACAATAAAGATTCAGTAGGAAAGAATCGTAAAAAATCAGCTAAATAAATTAACACTTTCCCCAAGGGGTTATGCTTGTATAAGAACAATTTGTTTTCCCAATGATAACCATTATCTTAAATATACTAACAGGAATGAAGCGCTAGAGTTATGTACAGCTGTTGGGTGGTGGTCAATGTGTGTTTAGGATAAGTTAACAAATGCACTTTGCTTAAATTTAGGGAAATAATTTATTTTCAATTGGATGATAGCAATGTGTATGGGAGGTGCTTTACAATATTTGTGTATTAAACTAAAGACCAAGTTTCTTTGAATGCCTGAATATAACCATACATCTGTTGTATTGCTGTATGAGCTGCAAGCTTATACTCTGCAAAAAGAGTGGCAAAAAACGAATGAAATACATCAGTGAACAGTTCACTGAGTTGTACTGTATTACACAGCATTTTGCATCATACTTTCATCAATTAACACTTTCTCATTATGATAAAAGACAAATTAAAAATGTATAACATAAATATAATGAGCAGAATTGACACTGCCATGCGCAGCAGCAACATAAAAAAGGTATGTGTTAATATTGTTATTATATAATGTTAACAGGGATCAAAAGGAGAGAATAAGGACATGAGGGAGCATATAGTGAGTGAAAGTGAAAGAGAGAAAGGACAAGGAGAGAAATAGGCAGAGTGATAAAGAACCGCAGAGATACTCTTCATTCTTTAATCACAACTCTATCCACAGTAAGTATGTGCTCGCCTGCCAGTGAAGCCCACTGGACTGAATCCAGAAAATAACAATGCTAGAAGTTGGCTTCAGCCTGAGTATCATTTTGTTGGTGAGTGGTGTGTGAAGGCAGACTCTCACTCTGTTGGTGTAACAATGTCTACGGATTGATTCTTAGAAGATGTAATCAGTCTCTATGCATTGACTGATCATGCTTGTTGAATCGGTACTACAGCTGATTAGAATTGCCAATTCCATCTCTCAAATTTGGACCATGGGATTTTGTTGGAAATATTTGGTTGCCCTTTAGTGGTATGTTGAGTTTGCGTGACTGTAACGGAGGTGATCTTTGGGCCCATAGATCTCGGCCTCTGTTACGGGTTGTGTAGCTTTGTTGGTGGTGAAGTGTATGTAGTTTGTCTGTGTTTTAGTTTGTCTCTGTTTGCTGGTTTTATGTTGAAAAGTGTTCCCCTTTCCCCATGTCTGTTGCTGTTGTGTGCACCTGGTGCCCTGTGTTGTCTCCTCCCCCCCCACTTGTGCCTAATTGCTGATTACTGTGTGTGGGTATTTGGGCTCTGGGGTTTTTCTGTTTGGGAGAGGTGTGTGAGATCCTTGTGGCTGGTGACTGTTCGCAAGGAAACAGCAGGATTGATGCCGTGTGTCCTGTGCTCGAGTTTAATAAATGCCCACACCCGGTTATAATTTTGGACATTCTGCCTCTGCCTCCTTGCTCGGTCGGGCCGCTCAATTGTCAGCCTCACAGTGACCCAAAATGATTGGTGGAGTCATTTATTTTGATGAACAGTGCGAGATTACTACGGCTGAGATCATGAAGTACCTAGATAATTCACAATCTTTACAATGAGAGGACTCTTTCCTCTTGTAAAGACAATGTAATTAGTCTCTTCTTTTCAATGCAACACTTAAATTGGATTGATATGGTTTTCAAGTCGTAGAGCCTTTGTGCCAACCTTGTTTTACGGTGGTAGTTGAACCTTCTGAGTTCTCTACTCTGTTTTCTGCGAGGAGACGTTCACTTTTGCCTCTGCTATCTGTGCCCTCGGAGAAACATAGTCTGTTCGATTCCCTATTGTGTGTCTTCCTGCAGGGTCCTCACCGCCCGGAGGGGGCATATACTGTAGTCTCTCACACTGCTGTCTGACATAAAAAAGGCTGAGATAAAACCTTCTATCTTGGAAAAGTAATAAAGGATATGCAGCTCTGTTAGTGCACATTGGAGCATTTTTACACATGCAGTGGGCACTGAATGGGTATTCTGGGCCTTGGTGAAGATTGTACTGTAAACACCTGTGGCCAACACCCACGGTTATAATCTCTCTGTGGACATCTTGCAGACTGGATGTGAGTGAAGTGTAATGCATCTCATTCTCTAGTCTAGACCATAAAGACAAGTGTTATTCAAATGTACTCCCTCTCTTGCTTGGGTATCTCCATTGGTGTGGCCATTACTATTCACCTACAGTCATTGTTCTGAGTACTGACTTGTCTACTGTGTTGTTCATGATGCTGTTTTTTCTATACTGTGGAGCAGAACTCCAAAGTAAAATTGCAAAAACATGAAAAAAACGACAGCCGACAACATATTGACCGATTATCTTTGGACACCTCTACAACATCTCTTAAAAAAGCTGGCCATATTTCCCAGTTCTTTATCCCCATTCTCCCAGGATTCCATCTCGGATGGCTTTTAGTAATCCTGCAATACTGCCTGTATCTCCTCGTTGTGATGGACCTGCCCTGGGCCACATCAAGTATCCCTTGGACTCTCTGCTATTGGACAATAGGAGTGTTTTCACCACTGTTACCTTTGCGACTGCAAGTGGATTAGTGGTGACTCCAGCAATGACCCTCTAGTTCTGAATTGTAGGATTACATTGTGATGGCTGAAGCTGACAATCAACACCAGTCAAGATTAGGATGGGGCAATGTCTGCTGAGTCCTACCTCCCTCAGAAGGAAGCAGGGACATCGCTGTGCCAGTTCAAATCGTTGCTTAATCCGAGGCAGTTGAAGTTCTCCCTGCAGGTTTAGATACCTGATCCAGACTACTTGTCCACAGGCCATTATAAAGGCCACAAGACAGACAACATGACTATCTAGTAATGTTTTAGCGTCATTCTACTCACTGAGACATTGACTTGTAGTTTAGAGATTACACTCTTCAACCCTCTATCTCAGGAGGATAACAATGCACATTCCTTCTGGTGGGTTACCATTGATTTCCTTAAACGCAGGTGTCTTTTCATTGTCGACATTAATGTGACACTTATCCAGAACGACTTAGTGTAAAAGAACCAACAGCAGAGTGAGTGATTTGGTGATAGGAAGCCAAGACAGAGCCTCTTAATATCTTGGATAGAGAGTCTTGCTGGCTAGACATTCATATCTCACTAATCCAGGAAGACTTAAAATAACTGCATGTGGGAATGATAAGGAGGGAAATGGAGTAATGTATAAAGGGTAGGCGTACCATATTTGGCATTGATAGCAGAGAAAAGGATTCAAGTCTGGCTATTCTTCTGAGCTACAGTGCTTTTTTTTTTGGCAGGTTGCCCATTACTGAGGCAACTGATTCCAATTCATCCGAGATTCCTTTGGATAACAGAGTAATGTGAAAAATGTGATCTTAGCTGGCACTTAGAATAAAAAGCTTTTGACCAATATTTTGACAACTGACGTAGGTGTAGCAAGATTTGTCTGCGTCTACTTTTAGGTTCTCATTGAATTCACTTTCTCTTTATTTTTGTCAATCAAACTCTGCATGAATGATGTTGCAAAATTAACATTGATTGTATACTTTAGATGCACAAAAACCTGTATAAAACACTGCCAGAAAGGGGAAACCCCCAAAATAGGGCCTCTTTAAAAAAATATATGGTTGTATAGGACATGTTTCAACATGTTTAATTAGACCCTCCAGAAAAACGCGGGCTAAAATCCTTGATTATGCGATTAAACATGCAGGGTTTTTATGTGATTTTATGCGGTGAAATTGCGGGAAGTTGCGAAAAAGTATAGATTTTCTTTTAAAATATTGGGCTGTCTTATTTATTCTCTCTTACACTCAACCTGCCACTAAACCCCTTTCCTATTCAATTAAACAGATTCAATGTTTATTTATTGTAAAAGCAATTGGGCTATTTTAATCTCACACACACACACACACACCGACACACACACACACCGACACACAACGACACACACACCGACACCCACGCACGCACGCACGCACGCACGCACGCACGCACACACACACACACACACACACACACACTTCTCCGCCTCATTCTGTTTTCATTTACTCGTTCGTTATCTGACCAGCTTCAATCTTGTAGGCTACTCACTTCGTTTCTTGTAGCCCTCGAAAGGGTTTTGGAGGTTGATGCCTCGGTGAACGTCACCGAGGCATCAACCTCCAAAACCCTTTCGAGGGCTACAAGAAACGAAGTGAGTAGCCTACAAGATTGAAGCTGGTCAGATAACGAACGAGTAAANACATATATTCCCCTGCTTCCTGTGCAATGTTTTTAGTGCTATATTACCCGTAACGGAGGCCGAGATCTATGGGCCCAGAGATCACCTCGGTTACAGTCCCTGTGCAGATATACGAAAGAAACGTGTATTAGCATCCTTAGCAATTGTATTTCCTGGGTTTTTAGCATTTTCACTCACACTTCCTACTTCTCTTCCCCTCTCAGACAGTGGACACTGCTCATTAGCGAGCACTTGGACGTGTTGCCAAGCAGTTCCTCTTTGAACCCATTCTTAGTGCTAATCATTTCTCCTTGGGTAACCTGTTGCTAAGGGACTCATTGCACCTTAATGTTTATTTAAGAGCCTAGGAGGAGTTGCACGTCTAAATACTGGATGGGGGTTGTTACCCACAGTGTTCTTGAGCAATATTCCTCGAAAGCGCGTCTGTTGTGTTTACCTTCCAAATAACACATTAAGCTCTTGGCTAGTTTTTCATCCGTTGTAATCCCATAATTATCATAAGAAAGATCCCTCTGCGCTCTGAAGGGAGTTGGCAGCTCTCCGCTTGTCCTGTGTGATACTCAGAAGAACAGACGGTCAGAAAAGAGGCGATGACAGCTCTTGATAGCAATGAGAATGCAATAGGATTAAAACTATGCAGGCGGTTGATGGGACCCAACCGGAACAGGCTGATTTCCCCTTCAGTTTTATTGAAACATTTGAAAGTGTTGACACTTGACACCACTTGACCACGTGTAGTAGTGACTCACTGTGGAGAGGAAGCAGAGAAGTGGTGTGTGTGTGTGTGTAAAGAGATGAGTGAAAGTATATTTAAATATATTTGTTTAGAGCAGACTAACAGGCTTTCAAATGAAACGTATCAGTGTTTCTTATCCTACGCCTAAAGGAGACGTCATCCCGGGACATTTTGAATTTCACAACAGCCGTCAATCTGTCCAGCTTTTTCGTATGTAGTAGGAAAAAAAAATCCTCTTTTAATTTTCCATGAAAGAAAAAAGGGCTGTTCTGAGCTCCTTCCTTTTTACTGCAGTACTCTTCTTCACATTCACGCTACCACCTCAACCACAGATGCTCCTCTGGGCCCATTAGATTGCTCATAAAGTGATTATACACGGTCATAATGGCAGCCTTGTGGTTATAATCATCCAAAGCTAACGGTGTGACTCAAACACTGAAACCTTCAGTCAGTGCTAATCATTGTTGTAATCGGACATTTAGCTTCAGGGTTTGTTTGGAGATAAAACATCATGCATAGGCTTTCTGTCTCTGAGATCACTCATAACGTCTGGAAGGTGTTACCCGCCAATTCAGCTTCTTACCGAGGTGCAGGACTCTCTCACAACATCATATATGATCTGTAGGGCTGGGTCATAACCCTAACCCTAACCTATAGACCACACTAAGGGAAACCCTAAAAAGCTCAATGGGGCCTCTTTAATACCCAGTTGAAGTTCTTTGTTAGAGATTGTTAGATAAGTGTTTCAGCCGTTCAAAACATCAATGTAAGGAAATCCCGGTTGATCAAAACTCTTCCGAAGTGTTTCCTTCCCTCTTCAATCCGATCCCGGTTTTTAAATTTGAAGTCTCCGTAGTTTTCCAGCAGGACCGTCACACCACTTTAGAGTCTATTTCCAGCACGTGGAAAAACGTGATCTCATGGACATACAAAATAATCGAATCAACGGCAGAGACGCACATTCCTACTTTATTCAATTTCCTCTGACGCTGGAAATATGATTTACGCTGCTAACGACAGCAACATGGTACAGAGAGGTTGTTTGTTGTCGCCAGGTGTCACGGGGGTCACATGGGACGCCGATTCCCATGGCAACTAGACCTCAGGAGTTCAAGGTTCGAATCGTCACTGGAGACGGTGTGTGTTCAAGCGTGTGTGTTTTTCTGTCAGCCTTTTTAAATGTGTGTGTGTGTGTGTGTGTGTGTGCATCTGGAAAATATAACGCAATGTGTCACTGTTAGTAGACTGTGACGCGATATTCTGTGAAAATGTAAGATTATAGTGCGTACTCTAGGACACACACACACACACACACACACACACACACACACACACACACACACACACACACACACACACACACACACACACACACACACACGAGCTCAGCAGGAGGAAATTCCTTGTTTGTAGAGAGCAGAGTTTATCCAGGGACTTCTGCTGACCGATTTACCGAGAAGGACTTGGAAGGACACTCGACATGTTGAAATATATCTGGGAATGTTTTTTTGTACAGATTTATTATTTTGTTTATTGATTATTAACTAGATCAATCTTTTTTGAAATATCAGAAATACTGACGGATGTCCATTCCAGTTTCCTGCGCTCCTTGCACTCGACAGGCTATAGAAAGCACATGCATGCTTATTAAATGAATTGCACTACAGGGGTTAAGTGAACAGCTGAGATATACATCATCATGACATCATTTCTTATTTTTTGTATTTGTCATTGGTGACCATTTCTTTCCAAGAACACAAAGCCATCAGAAAAGTCAAATAACAGAAATAGTCCAGTCCCAAAATGTCAATGTAAGCACTCCGGAGTGATTTGCTTTTTGTGGTTGAGCCTTATCGAATGTAACTCAGTGCTGTATATCCATTAAAAGCTAACTCATGTGAGCACTGTGGGTGTATTATCTCTACAATATTGAGAAACCACAGTGTAAAGTTTACACTTTTGTATATCTTTTTTTGGAACTTAATATAATTTTTTCAAGTATAACATCAGATCTTTTTGAATTTCTTTCCGTATAATTTCCGTCACAGTATTTTTTTTTTTTTTTTGCATAGATCTTTTCAGCATTTGATGTTCCCAGAAAATTGACATTCACCTTACGCACAGCCTGACCTCTTTAAAAACTCCCAGGGTCTCACAGGAGTCAAAAGGTGAAGACCTCATAAACACAAACCCCCCCTTTAATACGCAGAAACCCACCTCAGCCAATCAGAGCAGCTCCTAAACCCTGACGACCAATTAAAAACAGTTCCCACCAGCTCAGCCAATCCCCATCCACTTCCCAGACACATTAGCCAATCGTGACTCCCTCCCAGAGCTCAGCTGGAGTCCACTTCCTCGAGGAGGGAAGAGACTCCAGTTTTGAGTTTTAGCAGCGACTGATTTGTTGTGTTTTGGGGTGAGAGAAAGATGGACTGGGAGTTCTGGACCAAACAGCTGGACCAGGAGGTTCTGGTGGAGGGTGGTGAGTTTTGGGATATTTAAATCTGATCAAATCTAGTTTTAAATGAGACAGCCTGTCATCATCTCTTGTCAGACTGTCACACAGGCTGAGCTTGAGTTACACGTTTGATGTATTCTCTTCCCCCGCTGCATTTCAGTTAGCTTTTGTTAGCCTTTAGCTCCTTTTTAAATGTATTTTTCTTATCTTTAAGACCATTTACAACCCAGCAGGCACTGACTCATGTGGTTAATGTTTCTGTGATGCATGGTTAGGGTCACAGAGGCCGCTTTGTTCCTCTTTATACGGTCATAACTTTGCAGCTGAGGTCAAACTGGAGTCCTTAACACTTGTTTGCATTTTAGTCCACTTTCTTGTCGGTGTCGTTTGATCTGACTTTTTCTCCTAAATGTATGGAAATGACAAATTCCTGTTCTTTTCTCGTGTGTTCTGCTGTATGAATGAGTAACAAAGGTCAGTCACAGTGGTTGTGTTTACTGTAAATGGGGCAAATCCACTTTAAATAGAAAATAACACACGAGGACAAACTGTTGTTATCTTAACCTATTTACTCTATAACAAATAATACAACTTAAAAACGTTCAAAGCTTGAAAACCGAGATCTAAGCAGACAAACTAGATGATGAGCTTTTGAAGAGGGTGGGGACACATGGCGATGTATGACATGTGACAAGAGACATGCATGTGTCATTTTCATAGATGACATTAAAATTTGTTTGACAGAAATTGAATATTAAACGCATTAGTGACACTTAAAACGTTTTTCTCGGATATATTTTTGATGTGCAAAAGATGGCCAATAACAACTCAAACATTTCCCATTCATTTATTAGCTAAACAACATGCATTTTAGAATACACAATAATCAATTTAAGATGCGCAGGTAAACAACTTTAATATCCCAGAAGCACAGCAGATTGTTTGCAAGTGACAAGCTGGTTTAAACCTCGTGGAAGCAAAGCATATAATGATTGTTATGACATTCTTCACTCCGCAGTGTTCTCACTAACACCTGGCTATAGTTACATGTGGGCTTTTATTACCGTCAGCTGACTCTCGTAGCCTTGAAGATGGTGGTGTGTGTGTGTTGCGTAAATCCAGACAGTTTTCTAAGTTCGATTGGTGACGTGGTTAAAGAAAGTACGTTTTGAAAGGTATGTTGGTGTGTCAGCGACAGACAGGAAGACAGAACACATTTCTCGCTGTCATTCATCGGGAACATTCTTCTCGGAGCTGATGGTGGTTTGAACCAGTCTAACTTGTCAGATCAGGTGTATTGTTTTAGTGGATGGTGGATGTTCTCCTTCCCTGTGTCATGTTAGAAATGTGGCTGCTGTGTTCGTGAAGTAAAGATGGCGGAGACATCAATTATAGTTTTTTGACAGCATCTTTCAAAAGTGCTTCACGTTGTTGCAACAGGAAGAAAGAATAAAAAAAGCATTTCAGCACTGCATTGAAATAAAATCAGACATTAATACAAGTTCAAATGGAAATAAAATACCCAAACGTAAGAGAAAGGTGAAGTCCCTCCTTTTCCTGGGGACCTCCATGGGACCTTATTTCGGAAAAATTATGTATTGAAGTCAATGGAGAGAGAAAGATATATCTTTGGATCCCGTTTGAATTGTGCCACAAATTATACATATGATGTTTGTCAATTTAAAAGATAGTTTTGCAAGTAAAAAAATCAAAATGTGAAGTTACACTTTTCTTTGTGTGAAACCGCTCAATGAACTACATCTCCCATCTCGCACCACACACCAAGATGGCCGTCATGTTGGCACATTTCACTTCTTTCTTTCAGAATGAGGCGGAAAGTATTAAAAGAGGTGAAAATCACTCCAAGTCTGGGCATGTTGAGAGCTGTACATACACACAAGGGGAGTTAGTCGGTTCCGTAAGAGCCAGCATGCGGGACGGGGATTCTGGGATTTGTAGTCTTTCTAGTTGCGTATTATTCATAGTCTTATATTTCAACAGTTTTACGACAAACTGTGACTTTTTTGACATGGAAATTATTTTTTAAGATTGACAAACATCATATGTGTACCGTAATTTTCAGACTATAAGCCGCACCTGAATATAAGCCGCAGCAGCGGCATACCACTCTCGGTTCCACTTTTACTTTTGCG